CATTCCCTTGCCAGGGATATCCATTCACAAGCAATTACAGAAACAATTACATAAATCTGCCCCTGCTATGCAGTGAAGTGCATTTCAATAACACTCCCGTGTAGTTATTAAATGTTTTCCTCTGGAAGATCTCCAGAATGATAAACATTCATTAATCACCACAAGGTACCTCTAAAGTACCAAACTACATGAGAACTACATCAAACAGGTGATCAGAGCCAGAGCTAGAGGCGATTTTATATTAGGACAACTTCACGCTGCTCTGCTGACACACAGCTAACTTGCTGTGGCCATTCCAGCCCCAGAATTACTTTTCTTCCAAGAAAACATACTTTAGCCAACAGCACCTCTGTATTTGTCAATCACCCCAAAAGCTTCAGCCAGGCTGCAGCACCAGTGACCTTCAGGTACCTCTAATGAGTTCTCATGGGCCGGAGGTGAGGAAGGAAGGACACAGCCAGATCCCACATTGTCCCACAGGCCAGAGGATCACAGAATTAGTTTATTTAGCCAACAACTCAGGAAAACAGGACAGAGACCCTTATCATTGTAGCACGTGGCTCCCACTACCCACACCTCACACTAAAGGTTCTTCAGTGAACAGCCCACAGCATAAGACTTTCCTGGAGTTAACAAAATCCCAAGAACACAGACTCAAGGGGTAGTCCATATTAAAAAAAAAGGGTTTTCACATTATTTTTGCAATAAAGGTAAGATTTCTCCTGAAAAAACCATACTGGCAGAAAATTCAGTACACTGTGTTGGAGGCAAACCACTCAGTACTAATATAGCTTTTTTTTTTTTCCAGAACTGGAACAAGCTATTCTATTGCAAAAGCTGGAGGTTAAATAAGAAAATTCAGGCACCAACATTTTTTACAATTAGAGAAATTGCTAACACATCACCAGGCTGTTTGAATGCTTTACCAATGTAGGAAAAAAGACTTGAAACACAGTTTACAGAGAATTTGCACAGCAGAGTACTACTGAGTCTGATGCTCAGTCAGGAGAACACCGAAGTTTCGGTACTTCCATTTGTATATACATGAGTATTTGTACATATGCGTGTTTTAATTAAGCCTTATTAATGTACTTACTCTATTTTCTCAGTGTAATTATACAGTTAGACATGAAAACATTCAAAAGTCTAGATGACTCAGGAATTTTACAGCAAGATATGAACTGCCAAATTTAGTCAATAGTACAAACCCAGCTACTCAGCTTAAGTCAGTAATCTGGAGCAGACGGAGTAATTTAAATACAACTCTGACAAGTTTTATCCTTTTTTCTTTGTTAATTGTCTGCTAACAGGCTGCAAATAAAGTCTGAAATTTATTCATTATTCAAAATGATTCATAAATGTCTTCGCTGACTAACTCTCGGCCTACAAATATCTTAAGCTATGGCTGTCACAACTAAGTAAACAATTCGCAATTCATGGTGTAACTTATGTAATGAATTTCTTCACCTTATGTAACCAGCTTGAGCAGTTTAAACAGCTGACAAACACAGCATACATTTTTAATTGCACTCTCACAGTTAACAGTTGGGTGGTTACAGGAATCACCCTCCCAGGAAACACACAATGCCATGTGATTTAAGTTGCAAATACCAAACCTTCCACTTGAGAACATGCTTTGAAACTCACTTTCTCTGCCCACACCCAATGAAGTAGGCAAGCCTTTAAGCTATAGATGCTTTTCCACATATCCTTATGCTCTAGGAGTGGTATTAAACTTCTAATTTAATCATAATTTTCTGAAATTCAAAAAATGACAATTTATTCTATATTCCCTATAGTACTCCCAGCATTTGGAAAATGCCTATTTACCAGGAAGCTGTTGCCTTCTTCCTAGTACCATAAAGGGTGCACCATGAAGATTTGCATCAAGCGTTGGGGTTACACTAACATGGGCCCTGCGCTCCTCTGCTCCCTTCCTGAAGCTGTACTCCACTTCAGAAATTAAAATAAATATATGAAACTACAATGCAGAAGATGGCTTTAAGCAGTTCTTCAAACAAACTAAAAGCTTCAGGCAACCAGCATTTACCACTTGTCTCAGAATCCAATTCTGCAGCTTATCACCACAGAATTCTGTCTTGTACTGAACTAAAATTTTACATTTCAGCTCATCAGGAATCATTTCCTCTATGTGTGTCTCTTAACTTTGCTCTTACTAGAGCCACAGAGAATTTGATGATCTGTCTTTCCCTCCATTTTTTCTGCCAAGGTACAAGCCAGATTTCGATACCGTTGATCTGGCTCTCAGAAGTAATCCTTTTAATTGTATATAAAGTCAGGAGAAGGAAGGTGCCTTCAATGGGGCTACTACTGAACATGAATAAAGCTCTGAAATCTGGCCCTACCGATTCAGCTTGGAAAAAAAAAAAAAATTTAACTCCTAAGCCAATCATCCCAGTGTCCCAGTTTTTAGTGCTCTTTGATTTCCCTCAGTATTACTCTGACAGCAAAGTGAAATACTGCTCTGCAGCCAGGCAACAGCTATCCACAGTTCTGGGTTACTCTAATGCTTTGACCTCTTCTACACTTATAACATACTTGAAAATTCCATCTGTTGCCCAACAGCAACAGAGTCCAGGCTTGAAACAGCAAGGCCCCCCCATGAGGGCATTGGCATCACATCTGTGAAGCGTCTCTTGACAGTGAATAGAGGGCAGTGGTGAATTGGATCCCAGGACACTGGACTTAAAGAAAAAAATACCTTTCATAACCAAACTAAGTCTCCCATGTTTGTTTGTTTGTTGGGGGTTTATTTATTTATTTATTTCTACCTATTTCCCTTACTGTACATACTCTTTCATGGAATAAATTCCGAAAATTTCAATATAACCGTTAGAAAAGTCGAATTTCATTATAACAACTTGAAAGATTTTATGAAGATGTCACTGAAATTTCATGGAGGAAAGACAAAAGAAAATGAGTATCTTGAACTGCCAAAAAAACCCCTACTTAAAAAGTCTGGTACTACCTTTCCACAGCTGTCTCATTTTTCAGACAGCTCTCACCCCTGGGACTCTGCCTGTCCTCAAGACTTTCCTTTACCAGCGGTAACGTGCTCCTGATGATTTGCCCTGAAGGTATAAGCAGCCCTGTGTACTCCCCCTGCCAACACACACACTTGGATTTTGTTCCTTCCTGCCCATGTTCCACTGCTATTTTAGTCTCTCTCTTCTTCTGTCTAGACAAATTTTACAGCTATTCGTATTACTGTGCTTTCCTAATAAAAATACCCCTGTGCAATCTGCCATCACAGTGCCTCTGTGCCACTTAAGATAAATGTGGACACACAAAATAAAGCTGAAGAGGCTCATGGGCCTCATATCTTTTGGATATACAAGAGTCACACAAAAAAATGAAATCCAAAAGCAAGTATTGCAGTTCTTCAGAGTAGGATTTATTAGATTATTTTCTGAAGAAAAACCACAAAGTGTAGATGATGGTCCCACCAACCCCAACTTTAGCAGTATTTCCCAGGCAAATGATCTTTTTAGACAAGACTATAGCACTTACAAAGCATAGCATCAAATTCTACATTATGCTCCAACTGCAAAGCAGTAACCGTTTATATTTTACCAATACTTCCCACAGTATTTTGACTTTTAAGGTTCAGCTCCAGGAATAAAGCAATTATACTCTTGAAGGACAGCTGAAAACCTACCCTGAATATCTGGTTATTGATCAATAACCAGGAGAAAATAAAAATTAAGCTGACATTTGTCGATCATGTATGGTTTTTAAATCTCAACTTTTTTTTAGAGCTCGATTGACTTTATTGCACCTTTGGAGCGGATGTTGTCAAGTAATGCACAGAATGAAATTCAGGTATCAATGAAAGTATTACAACCTAGATTTTAGATGTAAATCCTTCATGAAAGAGATGGCCTTTCTAATACTTTTGCCATTTATAATATTCCTCTCAGCAACATCTGGCACAAAGTAGCAGTTACCCCCTAAAATCTCAGACAAGGTGATACATACCATAATAGAATTCATTAAATATAATCACTTATAGTACATAAAACGTCAATTCAATTAGACTGCTACCATTATAGCTTCCTGGTGATAATTTGCTCTACAAAAGTGTAACCTAGTACTCTTGCTATTTGTTACTCTGGGTGAAAAAAGAAGTGTTGCTACTGCACTATGTAAGGGACTATCAGAAGGTAAGAAAGCTGTTAGAGCCGTGGGTCTCATCCTATTTAAACTCATGGACCTATAAAGCACTTCAAACAGACGTATGGTCCCCTGAATAATGAATTTAAGCCTAATGACAATAGCCTCATCTTTCTCATTATCTTTCATAAACCCTTAGAAATAGTTCCTGGACCACTGGTCGAAGACCATTACTTTAAGGCAGCAAAGAATTACATGCTGACACATACAGTACTGCTGACTGAGTCATAAGCTGAATAATTACACATATTGCAGCAAAGCACAAACTCCTGTGGCTGGCCAGTCCAAGGCTCTGTGCCAGCACACGGGGACCTGTGTGAGCAACTGTCCCCATAAGCAGCATCAGTACAATAAATGAAACTACACACAGGAGGTAAATTGAGCACAGCAGTATTTGCTGGGTAAATACCTAAACAAGGATGCAGCGTGAGAGCTTTTAACTCCCATTCCCCCTTGCAAGTCACCAACTCCACATTCAAAAATCCCAAACTGAAAACACAACACTAAAGAACATGATTGGTCCCATTAACTCAATTGAATCCATTTTTCCTGAGCCATTTGGCTCCTGAACTAAGACCTTTTCTTAGGAAAGTGCTGATGAACTCTTTGCTTGTTTAAATCTACTTCCAGTTACTCATAAGTAAACACAGACTAGACATACCCGGAGCACTTTTCCCTCCCTGCTCATTCAGCAACTCCACAGGCCCAGTCACACCAGGCCCTGCTCCCCTTCAGGCCCACAAGCTCAGAGCCATCACACCCTGCCAGCGCTGGGACAGCTTCAGGGGGAGGTCTTGGGCAGATAGAGACCCCAGGCTACAGCCTCCTTATACTGAGAATAAAGAACTTGAACAGCCAGCCTGCACAGGCACAACCTCACAGGCAGCTGGTTTTGTTACCAGGATCACCCACAGCTGCTTTACAAGCCAGGTCTGCCCCAGGTGCATCACCCAGCTCGAGCACTGGCACTTCCCAGGGGGACATCACCACCTGAGGTGGCTCAGGCAAGAAACCCACCCAGCTACTCCCAAGAGGTGATGATCCCACAAACCAACAGGAAAGTCTCCCCAGGCCAAGGGAAGAATCAGGAAAGAAAAAGATGCCACGTCATCCCCAAGGTAATGCAGTGTTTCATTTTCTCAGGCTGCACAGCTGACAGCTACACAAGCCACACAGACACGGGGGAGGTACCTGCAGCACCAGCATGTCCCATGCCACCACCTAGACCAGGGGAACTCCCCACCTCAGGGACATGCCACCTCTGTACCCAAAAAGCCTCACTCTGAGGCACATGAGAGGTCACAGCCAGATGCTGCTTTTCTTCATGCAGTCTGCCAGCAAGGAGAGCTGCACCCACTCCAGGAGGGCACCAGAGCCCACACTGCTGGTTTGGCCTGCAGAGGCCACAGCAACCTTTGGTCCCCAGCTCACATTGCCAGCCCAGCACCAGCTCCCGCCAACCTTAGGGAACTCCAGGCACACAAAACCAGGCCCTACATGTACCCAGCCCCACACATACCTTGTTCAAATGCCAGGCAGTGCCTCACAAGGGGTGCAGCCCCACAAGACTGAACGCAGGGGGCTGGTAACAGGGTTCATCAGCACAGGGAGGGAGCCAGGCCCATGGCACCCTCAGAGATGGGGCTGCAGACAACCACCCCCAGCAGAGCTCAGAAAAGGGCTGACAACCCCAGGCTGAGCTGAAATGCCCCCTTGGGGGCGGGTTTGGGGGGGCCCCAGGTGATGCCAATGATGGTCATGAGGGCCTGTCATTGCCCACAGCTGGCAGTGCCTCTGATGAGGGCGAGCTGCACCTGCCACGCTGCCACCAGCCCCATGCAGGGCTTGTTTTCCCCACGGAGACGTGCAGGACCCTTGCCTAGGGTGCAGCTCCCCCTCAGTGCCTCGGTGGTGGCCCACAGCGGGGATCACCGGGCTGAGGGACTGCAGCTACTGCAACTGGCTCTGCCAGCATCCAGTCAGGATCTGACCCTGCGACGGCCGGGCTTGAGTGAAATGTAAATCTCTTTTCCCTCAAGAAAACTCCTAACTGATAAAAGGTAAACAAATCCCCCCATAAATGTTCCCAGGATTATTTACAGTGTTCTTTTGGCAGAAGAAATTAACAACTAGGGGCCTTATGTATGTCCCCCTCCAGCAGTAAGCAGCCACTGAAATAAATGAGTTGTCAGGCAAACAACAAGAGAAAAGTTCCCAAAATTTCCACCCCTGCACCGGCCCTTGGAGGACACTTGTGCCTTCTGTCTCTCACTCGCCTCACTCCTCCAGAAACCACCGGCACACGCAGCCAATATGAGCATTCTCCTGCTCATCTCCTCAGGTTCTTGTCCACACCCCACTTGCAGCCCTGCAGCACTGCCCAGGCACGTGTCATGCTCTCTGAAAATGCCCTCTGGAAATATTTAGCAAGCACTGCCTGAAGGTCTGATCCAGAACTGCTTCCTTGGGTCCAAACAGTCCACTGTGCTGAAGATGAACAAAATTTAAGCAGTCTGAAGTTTATTTGGGGAAGAAACCCGACGTTAACAGTAACACAGATCTCACCCCTGAGCTCGTGGGGGCTACTGCTAGAGGCTACACCACAGGCAGAGTAAGAGCTGGGCCTCTGGCAATGAAGAGATTTGTGAAGCAGCACAATGGAAGAACAAAGCAAGCAACCTTTGTTCTTCTTAACTGTGTGGCAAGGCACGTGATGGCCAGATTTTAATGTGTTTAGACTAAATGTTTATCTAAAACACTTGGAAGATTGGGCTAAGTTAACAAGATTTCTGAAATTTGTACACTCACTGGGAACATAATAGGGAGTCATAACCATGTAGCAATAAATTAATATGCAAATTAGATGTGTTGGGTTAGAAGAGGACAGGTTGAATGAATAAGGGACAGGGAGACTTGCATTCGCAAAGATGATATTTTTAATATTTCTTGATTATTGCATTCTGTCAGTCTAGAAGTTCACAAGTGTAAAAGGATAACAAGCCCCTACAAGGTCTGTGGCACTAGAGGGCTTCTTTGATGGTGCTAATGAAGCAGATGACTGTAACCTTCACAACTTTCCATAATATTAATTTTTGCAAATGTAACTAGAATTGATCAGTATCTATAATCTCATAACTGCCAGTCAACACTTTGGCATATTGCCAGAATATATGGAAAAGAAACTGATAGTGTGGAAGAAACAAAATGTCTTGTAGAGGGAAGCTGTCTCAGATAAGTGAACAGGTAATCTCCAGTTCACCTCTCTTCTGGTGCAAGTTGACTCCATGCAGAACAGCCTCCCAAATTTTGCCTCCAGGGCCTGTTACCTACCTCTATAGATACTTCACTGACAACAAAGTACTACGTGTTTTGACAGCAGAAGGTTCTTTGTAGTTTTCAGACTAATTTGTCACTTCCTTCTGTGTCACTTCTTATGATATACCCCTTTGAATCACACAAAGTAGCTCTTCTCATCTTAGCATTAACACCCACCAAATATTTGTAGTCTCTTAGTGCATCCCCGCCTTCATCATCTCATACCCACATTTAGCACTCCTAATCCTTCCACCTAAATCAATCCTGAAGCCATCTCGATAATTTTTGTTGCTTTTCTCTGAACTCCTCTCAGTATGTAGAGACACTGCTATTCAAGTTTTGTGCCAGGCTGGATGTGATGCTTTTAGGTGTGTATGCATCAGAACTGTGTAGAATTAATCTATTACCACCCTGAGCTGCAATACGTTTGTTCCGTATATGCAGTGCAAACACCGCTTTGCAAATTAATGTGTAATGTTCTATCCTGAGTTTCTGAGCTATCTCCAGGCTTTTACTTCTTTTTGAAAGTCATGAGTTCGAGATTATTTTTGTATCTTGCTTTGTCCCTTAGTAGAGATACAGAGATCATGTAAAAAACAATCAGAAAAATCTCAATAGGAGGAGCATCAGAATGCACCATAATAATCAGAAAAGAAGGCTCCGACATATTTTCTGAAGTTTCCATGGCATTTTGCTTCAAAGAAAAAATTGGTTTCCATAAATTCTTGTTTAGTCTCTGTGTGCACAGAGATTACTGCTAGGACAGCAAAGGATCACCAAATCCCACAATCACACAGTCCTGAGACCACTGTGGAGCAGCATCCATCACCATATATCACAGAATCACAGAATCAACCAGGTTGGAAAAGACCTCTGAGACCACTGAGTCCAACCCATGACCCAACACCACCCTGTCAACACATAGAACTTTTATAGCCTTGGATTATGTATAGCTGCATTCACATGGTAAAGGAATCTGTGACAGGATCACAGGGAGACATGTGGTACAAGGTCTTGCTGACAGATGGACAGGAGATTCAGAAGACAATGAGAAAACAGTACTGGATCAAGGGACTCAAAGTCACCCAACTCACACATGGGACAAATGAACAAGTACACAGAGGAGGATCCCCCCAGCCCTCTTAAAAAGCCCCAACCTTGCCTTGTTGGTAAGGTGTAATTCTCCTCTCTTACCCTGAACTGGCTGCTGCCCACTCACTGTCCTGAGGGTCCCTGAGTAACCAGTTACCTGTGTGTTCCTGATGTGAGAGGCCATTTGCTGCGTGCTGGCCATCTCTTCTTCAAAGATAGGGAACCTTATGAGTTATGCTACAATTTGCATGGGAAGACATGGTCAATGCAAAAGAGGCAGGAGATGAAGACTGGGTTAAATAACAGGCTAACTTGAAAGGACAAGACTAATAATAACAAAATGGGACAAGGGAAGGAGACAGAAAAAAAGGGAGCAGAGAAGAGCAGGGATCAAAGGAGCGGGAAGAATAGCAGTATGGAGATTGAGAAGAAAGGTTGTGACAGCCCCAGACTGTCACACCGCAGGGCGGCAGACTGTGTCAGGCCATTAGGAAAATGATTTCGTGACACACACAAATGTGATCCAAAGGAAGCCCTGGCAGCTTCCAAAGGGACACCCTCTGCATTTCAAACACTACTGACGTAACACAGAGGGGCCCCAGACTGAGCCACTAGTAGGTGAGTAGGTGTTTGAAGGCAGTAGCCAACAGCCATTTCTGCTGAGGCAAAACCTGGCCACACATCTGCTAGAAAAGTCAACAAAAATCTCTTCTTTCTCCAGACAGAAACTGAGTAACTCGAATAGCATTGTGACAGTAATATTCTTTCCTTTAACTGCACACTCTTTACTAACACATTTCAAATGCCCTACAAAGGAGGCATCTCTGCTGCTAAAAGGTGAACAGGCTGCGGCTCAGGAGGGTGAAGTTGCTTCCTAAGGTGGCCTTGCACAAATCAGAAAATAGAGACCAGCCATTGCTCTCCTGCTCTAGTGCACTATTTGCAAAGCAATGCTTCATATAAGCATGATCTGTTCCCCCCTCTACTTCGTGGGGAATAGTTCTTCTTCAAACAGAATATGCTTCCTTTGGTTTCTTACAGCTACCCTGGTGACAGGATAAAATCCAGGTGACATCCACTCTTCCCTTCAGCATTCATCATCAGATATTAGATAAGTATGGTTAAGGGAAAGGACTAGAGCCCTCTCAAGCAGGGATATCTTCTTAACTCTGCACCCTGGCCGGCTCCCTCCTCCTTGTCTGACTACTCAGCATGTTATGTACACGACAAGTGGACTAAAGTAACATTTAAGACAAGACCTAACACTCATTAAAAATAGGTGAGACCTCAAAGCAAGCTTAAACTGCATCCTCACCTCAACCTGAAGAGATGGAAGATAGCAACTTCCTACACAGATCACTGGTGGTTTCTGTCACAGCCCATGTCAGGCTGCCACATGTGCATTAAATACATGAATGCACATGTCAAGGAGCTTGGGAGGGTGTTCAGTATCATGTGCCAAACCCCACGTGGAAACAAGCTCTCCCAACAAGGAGAACTACGGGGCTGGAAACCCCAAATCTGCCTGCATCTTCCATTGGCCAGCTGATCACTTTGCAGAGCAGACCCCCACATATTCCTTTCTTGCCCCACCCATAGCCTCCTTCCCCTTTTTGATCCCAGAAACACATTTTGTTTTGCAAGCTAGAGGATGGGTAAAAGTTGGGAGGAAGGAAGGCAAAAGAGAATTCTCCCAGGCTTAGTATCCCAG